TCTCTTTTGAATTGATCACTCAAAAGTTGATCTCTAGACATTTCCCACTCACAAAGTGTTCGATGAAATGTCTGAGTCAGTTCTCTTAAGCTTTTAACAGTCTTTACCAGGGACACTTATTGTTAAAGGTGTTAAGATGGCTAATAGATTTATTCCTAATGATTACTTTCATAATATTCAACCAAAGACATTTGATGCTTGAGTTATAGTAGTAAATGAACATTCATCTAGACATATAGCTTGTTTAGAATCGTATCTAGACCTAAGGTAGACAGTTTAATTGATCGCTTGCCATCCTTAGATCGAAACTTGATCACCCAAGGTCAAATTCTCTATACCCATGAGTTCTCCTTTATTTTCTTTGTCAAAGTTATATCTTTTATTGCATTCTAGTTTTAGTTAACCTTAAAAACCAATCAATCACATGATCGCACTTAGATTAAGCTAGTACTTGTATTCTTGGTGCTTTTAAATCTCTCAGAACTGGTTCGACAATCATCTATACTACAACATTTGTCTTATGAGCCTTGAAAACTCCTAACATCAGCGGGCCTTAACATTTTATAATTATTTGGTTAATATATCTTTTACTAACTCAAATACTACAATGATAAAGTATTAATTGTGTTTTATTTTTTTGAAACCACTAATATTTATACTTTCCTTTAACAATTCTTACATATATTTCTTTGTAATTTATGTTTACTCTTAAAAATAATTTTAAAATCAAATAATATTTTTTCAATTATCTAAAACTAAGAAGTTGACTTGATTAACATTTAGTCATGTATTTTCTATTGTTTTAATAGTTAACTTTTTATCAAAATATATATTTTCAGATAACATCACAATATATATCGGAATTATCTTATTTAAAAAGATATTATTTAGATTTTGGATAATTCTTATGATTATTATTAATTTTGAGTTACTTATCTAATTAAAATAATTTAAATTAATTTTTATTTTGTATGTAATTTATATATTATTTTCATTAAGGGTATAAACGATATTAACAACTCTAACTTTTAACGTGGGAGTTCCGTTGCGAAAAATCACTTCGCAAATAATAGTATAAGTTATTTTTCTCCTCTGAACTCACACGTTAAATTAAATTAATATTTATATTTTATATAGTTAAACCTTAAGCATGAATTAATCATAAAAAATAAAAGATCATTAAAAAGGAAAAAAATACGAGTTTGATAAAAATAAATTAAAATATATTGTATTATTATCCAAACTAATATTATTCTTTTTGTAAGATCAATTTTGAATGTATATTTATCGATTCAATTTATCAAATGGAAAGATAGATTTCTATATTATTTTATCAATTAATAAGAAATGAAATAGACTTTAAATTTTTCAAAGTTCTAAAAGAAAAAATATTTTTTTTTTTAATTTGTGAATAACTTTATCATGTAGAAAAGTTTAATGTTTTAGGTCAAACTAGGTGTTTTGCCCGCATTGGCGGACCTTAACATTTTATAATTATTTTGTTAATATATCTTTTACTAACTCAAATACTACAATGATAAAGTATTAATTGTGTTTTATTTTTTGAATCCACTAATATTTATACTTTCTTTTAACAATTCTTACATATATTTCTTTGTAATTTATGTTTACTCTTAAAAATAATTTTAAAATCAAATAATATTTTTTCAGTTATCTAAAATTAAGAAGTTGACTTGATTAATATTTAGTCATGTATTTTTTATTGTTTTAACAGTTAACTTTTTATCAAAATATATATTTTCTGATAACATCACAATATATATCGGAATTATCTTATTTAAAAAGATATTATTTAGATTTTGGATAATTCTTATGATTATTATTAATTTTAGTTAATTATCTAATTAAAATCATTTAAATTCATTTTTATTTTGTATGTAATTTATATATTATTTTCATTAAGGGCATAAACGATATTAACAACTCTAACTTTTAACGTGGGAGTTCCGTTGCGAAAAATAACTTCGCAAATAATAGTATAGATTTTGTGGATACAAATAATCATGTATTTTGATGATTTTTTAAATTGATTTAAAGATAGTTAAGCCCGCATGTGCGGGCAAAACATCTAGTCATACAATAATACTACAGTCAAATATTGTTAATCAAAAGTTTTTTTTTGATTAAGTTAAAATTAATTTAAAAGTACTAAAAACATGTTATATTTTACAATACAAATTTTCAGGTAATATATTCTAGAACAGGTGGAGTGCTATTCTGTGATGGACAAGAACGAGTCGTTGTGATCTTCTTTAGATCCATGAGAGTATTATAATGTTTCCCTTCTTATGACCACCACACCATTCTCTCTACCTTCTTTCTTCTCTAACAAATAATTCAGTCACATAACAAGAATCCAAATACAACAAATTGTAGGGAGAATTGGCAAAAGAAACTCGGCCCTGCCAACTGTCGAAAGAGTCAAAAGGTAACTAACATCATAAATTTTGTCAAGCCACACAACACCCAAGACATATCTAGAAACAACAAATGGAGAATACTGATACAAAAAAATAGTATCATATTGGTGTTCTTTTGTGGAGTATTAAGTCTGTTTCAGAATTCAGGTTTACACAAGGTTAAAAGAATATTACAAAAAAACAAAAACTAAGATGATAGAGAACTCACAAAGAAACAAAAGAAAAACAGGTCATAGTCTTAACAGAAGAGGAATTTAAAAAAAAAAAAGAGTAGATAAGTTATAACAAAACGTCACTAAGATGAGACGTTTTCTGTAAGATCATCATCAAAGTACTAAAACTTTTAGTAGTATATAAGGAAAAGAAGTTAAAAAAAAATCAGGAGAAAGTAATTTTTTCGCTGCTTCATGTTGCTACAGACGAAGACGAGCCATTGGCTTTCACAACTTGTGTTTCCTCCTCAAAAACAAATGATTCATCCAGGAACCCTTCAACCTTGGCTCTCTTCACACAACTTTTAAACTTGGTCCAAGCATCAGGGACATCTAAACACAGATCCTCAACAGACTCACCCACTCTCTTAAACCCTTTTGTCATCTGATAAATCGTCACTAGCCCCGACTCAAAACACACTTTCAACAGCTTCCACACCCTCTCCTTCTTCTCTTGCTCCTCTATGATCCTCACCACCGACTTCTTCACAACCTCGTGGTGGAAAAACGGCATCCCAAGCTCCTTCACACACCTACAAGCTTCTCCCAAGTCTCCACCAGATACATACTCTTCAAGAAGCACTTGAATCTTCTGCTTCACTTCGCTCACAGTACACCCCGGCGAGTTTGTTTCCACCCCTCCTCCTCCCCAGCAACGTAAGATCCTTTCCCCGGAGAGACGTGCTTTCAGCAATGTCTTGGCTGTCTGTATCACTTTCTCCCCAACGCTTGAGCCTGGCTGGCTCAAAAGTTCTTCCAAGTCACGTGGAGCTAACACCTCGTCAACCACAGCTCTTGCTAAGAACATGGCGAGGTCTTCAACGACCACTGGGTTGTCTAAAGCAGTGTCGTCTGCAGACTCTATCAGCATGGAGAATGCTTTTCTGACATCTTTGGCAGGGAAACCAAGAGACGAGACAAGTACACAAGCCATCTCTTTCTCTCTTTTCTTTCTGTCCATTGCTAGAGTTATCAGATACTTTACAAACATCGCACGTAGCTGACTCGAACATCCACAACCCAGCTCGGTTTCAAGACAATGTACAACCTCTAAAGCGTCACCAGACATGAAATATTCTCGAACTATCGACTTAACCTTGTCTTTAAACTCACCACTAGCCTTGGAGTTTTCAACTAACTTTTCTGCACCTGAATCAACAACAGAGAGCGTTTTCAGAGAAGAAGCACATAACCATCCTTCAGAAGCAGCTTTTGAGATGAAAGACTTTAACACACTACGTGCCTCTGGTATGTCAAGAGACAAATCTTCAATCAACTCAATGATCCTGCTAAACCCTTTAGTCACCTGAGTGGAGTTTATAAGACCAACCTCAGTTGCTTCTTTCAACAACTCCAACAGCTTTTCTTGCGCTTTTTTCCTCTCCATTGCCATAATCAGCGCTCTTTTAACAATCTCGTGATGGAAGAAAGGAACTTTCAATCCTTTAATACATCTAAAAGCCTCCTTCTTGTCTCCACTCATCACATACTCTTTCAACAACTCGTTAATCCTCCCTTTCACATCCTCAGCTGTCCAGTTATCAGCCCCTCCCCATCTCTTCTCAACGACTTCCGCGTGAAGCGGAGCCGCTAGATAGCTCTTCTCAGCCTTGTTCAAAACCTCCACACCTTTAGAGTCCTCAGGCAACAGGTTCATCTGCTTCTTCAGAAACGCAGGTGGAAGGATGTCGTCAACGATGGCACGAGCCACAAAGACAGCAAGAACATCAACAGCGTCTGGTATATCTACTGACAGATCGTCTGCAGAGGTCACCAGCTTGTTGAAACCTCTGTAAACTTCTTGAGGGTCAATGACATCAGCGTAGAGCGTAGACAAGAGAAACGCAGCCATTTCTTTCTCCTTGTCATGCCTGTCCATAGCCATGGAGACTAGCTTCTTGACGAAATAGTAACGGTACTCAGCCATGCCAAGCTCTTTTAACTCATTAGCAACTGATACAACATCGTTGGTGTTAAAGTATTCCTCGACGATTATTGTCGCCTTTTTTTTGTACTCGCATAAATCTGCATCGAAGCTTGTTGGATCTGAATGTCCATTGCCCTGGTTCCACATACATCACGCTTGTAATGAAACATTATTCTAATGCGCAATAAGAAGTTTCATAATGTTAGAGTACCTCGATGGTGTCATAGTCATCATCTACAACGTCAAGAGACTCTCCCCAAGTTTCTGCATAGTGAGCAAGTTTAAAGAACATCTTAGACCAAACATAAGTAGTAGTTATATATATATATATATATATATACCTTTTGAGGGGAGGTCGTCATTTGGAGAAACATAATGTCTATGACTCTTTAAAAGTTCCTCCGCCATATTGACATGTGGCAATGGCGAAGAAGAAGAAGATATATTCAATTGAGAAATGGAGAGAGGATCCGTTATTTCTTGATGTTGCTGCTGCTGCTTGTTGGACTCCATCATCGAATCTCTCCAATTCCTCAACTTTCGATTGTCTAACGATTAGTTTTGCATTCTCCTGACTAACATAAGAAAGAGTCACATATCATCATTACCAAACAAAAATATATAACTAGTAACCACATGAAAACCTAAAGCTTTTGCAATTATTAGCCTATTAACAAAAGATATGACTGACGAAGAGCACACACACACACACTCTAGTCTTTAACTGAATCTGTTCAAGTAATTGTTCTCTAATAATATAATATCAAAAATAAATTAACAATCAAACACCTCTGAAGGGTGGTTAATCACGGAAATTAATCAAACCAAACGAACGTAAATAGAATCTGTTCAAGTAATCATTCTCCAACATACATCAAACAATCAACAATGAAAACACGTCTAATGGTTAATCAAAGCTAATTAAATCACACCAACGTATGTAAATAAGAAAAAGGAGAATGAATATTCAAATACAGACACGAAAAATAGATTTGGGTCAAACATAGAGTTCATCGACACATCCAATTGCATGAGGAGAACCAATAAAAAAAAACATAACTTGAATCAAAATAAAAAACAAGGCAGAGAGAAGCATCGCTAAGAGAGATTGAGAAGCGTACACCGAGAACAAAAAAGGATGAAAGACGCAGGCAGGAGTGACACAGAACGCCGGCGATCAAGCAGGCGGTCTCTGTCTTCTTTTATTATTATTTTATATATGTTTCTCTCCTTTCCTTCGAGTCGAAACACAGAACGTGGCTTTTATGTAAGTAACTGAAATCTTTTTTGTTTATTTACTTTTTTGGGATTTTTATTTACTTACTTTTTTTATTTCCCCATGGAATCACCCTTCCTTAAGTAACAATATAACTCGGCTTCGGTTTTGCCTTTTTTGTCCGTAATTTGCTTCTCTCTCGACATTTGTTACCCTCTTTTCCCTACCACGTCCCGTTCGAGTCATTCACGCTCTTTCACTCTCTTTTTAATATTCCTCTTTTTATATTTTTAGTTTAACCCATATTAATTGGGGTGACGAATACCTATAGTTCTCCTGACGCATTAAAATCTTTTTATTAATATTTCATTTAGAGTTCTGATGCACATCATAAATATATCTACTGCTATTTTCTTTTGAACCAAAAAAACATAAATATATACTGTTATTTAGGAAAAATATCTACTGTTATTTTTTTTATGATTCGTGAATAATTAGATTTGCTAATACATATTGATTAATAAAAAAATTAATTTTTTATATTTAATTTATTATATATTTCAAATGTATGAATATTTTCATTATCTTACATACACTACAAGAAAACAAAGCATTTACTAGGAAATTTTACTAGGAAAATTATTCCTCGTAAAGTTACTAAGCCTTTACTAGGATCTTACGAGGAAAGCAAATTTCCTCGTAAGTTCCTCGAAAACTTACGAGGAAATATTTTCCTCGTAAGACCTTAGTAAATCACTACAAGAAAACACTGGAAATCCTGACGAACATTCCGACGGAAACATATGTGGTCGGAAAATTCTGACGATATTCCGACGACATACCGACCAAAACAACTAAATCGACGTCGTCGGAATTTCGTCGGAATTTTCCGACGGATTACCGACAAAACATGTTCGTCGGAAAATTCCGACGATATTCCGACGACATACCGACCAAAACAACTAAATCGACGTCGTCGGAATTTCGTCGGAATTTTCCGACGGATTACCGACAAAACATGTTCGTCGGAAAATTCCGACGAAATTCCGACGACGTCCCGATAAATTATTTGACCGTTCGGGTCGTCGGAAATTCGTCGGCAATCAGTGGGAAAATACCGACGAATTTCCGACGAGATAGGGTTTCATTCAGGTTATACAAGATTCGTCGGAAATTCGTCGGTATTTTCCCACCGATTTCCGATGAAATAGGGTTTCATTCAGGGTATACAAGTTTCGTCGGAAATCCGTCGGTATTTTCCTACGGATTTCCGACGACCTAGTTTTAAAATGTTAAAATAAACATAACTCAATATATATTTGGATACCAAAATTATATATATATGTATGTATCTTATTGTTTGATTGCAACCATTCAATTTTTACAACTTATTTAAATATATATATGTATGTATCTTATTGTTTTCAT